TACAAGATTACATTATCCTATTTTCAGCTTCATTTCTATCACCAAGACCATATTTTCCAACTACTGTTCCTTCTTCACTGTTCCTGACTTTTGTATTCCAGTCACCCATTATCATTGATTCAGTTCAGTCAGTTTTGGAATGCAAAAATCTTAAGAATAGGTTTGAGGCATTGAACACCAATGACTGAAGACCAGAGGAGTTGTGGGATGATAATCAAGGATATCACCCATGAAGAAAGCAAAAGGTCATTATAAAAACAGAGGAGAAAGAAAAAAATAAAAATAGATGTCAGAAGAGACTCTAAAGATTGCACTGGAGTATCAAGAAGCCAAAACAAAACGAAAACATGTTGAAATGAAAAAGCTGAACAGATTATTCCAAACGGCAGCACAAGAGGACAAAGAAAGGATTACAATGGAATGTACAGAGAGCTGGAATTGAAGAATAAAAAAGGGAAGATCTTGCTCTGCTGTAAGTTTTCAAGCTGAAAAAACTGAAAAACAAATTTAAGCCTTGTGTCACAATACTGAAAGATGTTATGGGCAATATATTGAATGACCCAGAAATCATCAAAAGAAGATGGAGGCAGGGAGCTCTGTTGGCCTAGTAATAAGAAGATGCACTGCAATCCTGAAAACACACAGTTCTAATCTACCAGATGCTCTGCTGGAGAAGGAGAAGCAATCTCCTTCTCTGCCAGTTGGATCCAACTTGTCAGTACATGGGGGGGGGGGGGAAGAAAATGAAAGGAGTACACAGAGTCACTGTACCAGAAATAACTGATTGACACTTAAAAATTTCAGGAAGTACCACATGAACAGGAGCCAATGGTAATAAAGGAGGAAGTAGAAGCTGCATTGAAAGCACTGGCAAAAAATAGGGCCCTAGGAATCACTGGTATACCAATTGACTTGTTTCAATTAACAGATGCATCCTTGGGCACACTCACCAGTACATGCCAGGAAATCTGGAGGACAGCTATCTAGCCAATGGATTAAAACTCAATTCTGTAAGTCTAATAACTTATATGCTCTCCTCCAGCTTTCTTCATCAGAGAACACAAGAAAACACAAAATGGATTTGCAAGAATTCTTGTGCTAAACCCAGCTCCACACTTGATTGTGTGTGTGTGTTTGCGTATGTGTGAGGATCCTGAAGATTACCCTTAGATTTTTGGTTCACTAGAAGGACCCACAAGACCTTAAAAAGCTGTTATAGTTATGATCTTTAATGAAAAGATAGAAGCTTCGAATTCAGCGAAAGCAATCCAACTAAATGTGGAAATTATTGAACAGTATAATTGCTATCACATGCAAGAAAAATACTGCTGAAGAGCATTAAAAAAACGTCTGGAACAGTACATAAAGAACTGCCAGAAGTTCAAGCAGGATTTAGAAGAGGCTGTGGCACCAGGGATGTCATCGCTGATGTTAAATGCATTCTGGCTAAAAGTAATCAATACCAGAGTGATGTCTATTTGTGCTTTATTGACTATGCAAAGGCATTTGACTGTGTGTATCATGACAAGTTATGGCTGACATTGAGAAGAATGAGAGTTGCAGAGCACTCAATTGTGCTCACGCAGAACCTATAACCTAGACCAGGAGGATGTTGTGCGAACAGAGCAGAATACTACATGGTTTGGAATTGGGAAGAGAGTGTACCAGCGCTGTATTCTTTCCCCTTACCTATTTAATCTGTATGCTGAGCAAATTATACAAAAAGCTTAACTCTCTGAGGAGGAGTGTGGCATCAAGATTGGAGGGAGACTCATCAATAACTTGTGCAATGCAGATAACACAACTTTACTTGATGAAAGTGAGGAGGATTTGAAGCACTTGTTGCAGAAGATCAAGAAGTGTAACCTTCAGTATGGATTGCATCTCAAGGTCAGGAAAACACTTACCACTGGACCACTAGGCAGAATCATGATGGATGGAGAGACTGAAACTGTCAATAGCTTCATCTTGCTTGGATACACAATTACCACTTTGGTACTAGCAGTCAAAAAATAAGGAGATGTATTGCACTGGGAAAATCTACAGTTATGGACCTCTCCAACTTACTGAGTAGTGATGTCAATTTGAAGACTAAGGTCCATCTGATTTAGGCCACAGACTTTCTGTTTACTTGCTATGCATATGAGAGCTGGACAGTGAATAAGAATGACAGAAAGAAAGAATTGATGCCTTTGAGCTGTGGTGTTGGAGAAGAACACTGAATGTCTCATGGACAGCCAAGAAAACGAACAGATATGTCTTGGAGAGGGTGCAGACAGAATGCTCTTTGGAAGCAGTAATGATGAGGCTTCCACCTTACATACTTTAGACGTGCTGCTGCTGGGAAGAGTGGAAGGTTGGTGAAGGAGAGGAAGACCCTCAACAAGGTAGACTGGCACAGTGACTGTTGCAATGGGCTCTTGTGTGTCGGAAAGTGTGAGGATGGCACAGGACAGAACAAGGTTCTGATCTTCATTCATAGGGTCGCTATGAGTCATGCTCAACTTGATGGCACCTACCCACTAACATCCAATTGGTTGATAATAATCAAATGTAGTGGCTATCAAATGAGCAACAACTGTACACTGAGTGCTGTTTTCATGTACTTACCAACTTCAGTTCTTATGGTAACACTGCAAGGTAGTTATTATTTGCCTCATTTCATTAGTGAAAAACAGAAACTTAAAGCAATTAAGTGCCTGGTCATGTTCACACAACTAGTACATTTACTGAACCAATAATTAGCAGAGTGTACTGAGCTTGTGGCCTAGTGGTACACTGGACTGCAATCCTGAAGGCACATGTTTTGAATCCACCAAGGCACTCTATGGAAGAAGGATAGACAAGCTTCTCCCATGCAATTAACTGCCTCTGAAAACCGGTTGGAAGGTCAGCTGCGGGTCAGCTCTGACTTGATGGAACACAAAAATAACTATGTCGTGGAGCCCTGGTGGTCTAGTGATTAAGCAGCTGCACTGCAAACTCAAAGGCACATGACTCAAAGCCACTAACTATTCAGAGGGAGAAAGATGGGCAGTTTGCTCCTTTGGAATTCACAGCTTCTGAAAATCAGCTGAAGGGTCAGCCATGAGTGGTTCTGAAGAACAAGTATGTGTTGGCCCTGACACTATGTGAGGAGGCATCTGTGAATAAAAAATAAATAAATAAAAAGATAACATCCTGTTTATAAGGAGCTTTTACTGTAGTATCAAAGTCAAGATTTGAACTTATGGGTGTTAAAATTCCCAAACTTTACTTTTTTGTTTCCTTCCTCAGTGAGACGCTAATACAGATAGATAAAATTGCTTCAGTATTACTTGGGAAAGTGGTGGAGATGGAAACTACACATGACAGTGTTCTGTAGGCGAGAAATGTTGTTGTGTGAGTATCAAGACAAAGGAACAATTAGTGTAACAAGGAACAGAAAGCCTATGCAGCATTACAAATGTGACTAATGATCACCTGTAAGTATTATGTAATACATCAGTTAAAACAGATACTTAATCTTGAATATCAGATAGGCTTGCAGCTCTCTATATCACCCTGTGCTGTCTAAAGTGGTAGTCATTAGCCACTTAGAGTCTCTGAGTACTTCAAATATAACTAGCGCAAAGGACAGTTGATGAATATGTGAATCTTATGTTTTCAAGGCTGTAAGTTAGATACAGACCAAATATTTCCAACTAAGTTTTACATCGGAACTGAGATAGTATGTAAACAATGTAACAGGCATTTAAAGATTTAGTATAAAAAGAATATAAAGTAACAAAGATTTTTAAAATATTAGTTACAAGCTAAAATAGCAACATCTTGGATGTACTTGGTTAAATAATGTTACTGAAGTTATTCTCTCATTTCTTTGGAAAACTTAAAATATGTTAGAAAATTTAAAATTATAAAGACAGCTTACATTATATTTATTTAAATTGGACATAGGTGGTATAATCTAAGGAGTATAATGTCTTTTGTTTCTGTTATATAAATATTTAGCTGGGACTGCTGTTTTATCAAAAACTATACAGTACTTTTTCACTTTTTATGTTAATGGTACAAAATTATTGAAGAGAAGTTATTACAATTATTAAAATAATAATAATAAAAAAGATAAGATAGTTAAAGACCTCTGGACCAAAGTAAGAGAGGGGCTGGATGTCTTGAGAGAGTCCACTATGCTTTTCTAGTACTCTTACCCATTTTGCAGGCTGTGAGGTTCTGAGATTCCTCTTTATTCAATCGTTCCGCAGAATTGTTTGCACTAAGCACCCTAGAGAGCTGAGGTAGTGTCTCCCACTAGAACAAGGACTGTCTGTCTCTGCTTATAATAATAAAAAACAACGATGTGAACCCACTGTACTGAAGCCCTATGTGTATGGCCTTACCAAACTGATGCAAATATACTGATACTCATGCAGCTTGCTGTGTGTCTAAAGTAAAATAATTCTTTGCCCCTCACTCCAGGAGTTTCATGTGCCTGCCAGTATCCATGAAAACAGTTAACAGGCTAATTGGTTAATAATAAGTAGAATAAAGTGCACTTAAAAGCCAGTATGGATATTCAACAGGAATTATATGAAATGATTACTTTTGATGCGATCTAAGAATTTGCTTTAATGTATAAAAAAACTGCCTTCAATTTTTAGAATTTAAGTATTTCCTGAAGTTTAAGTTTATATTTTAAAATAATTTTCATAATGAAAAATTTTTGGATTTTTCACTCTAAAAACCTAGATAAGAAAAGTTAGTTTAATATTTGTATAGAATCATGTTACGTACACATGTACTTGCATGAATTTTCATTATTCAAGTGTTAAAAATTACATTTATTTCTCAATTAAAAAAACTTCCCAGAATAAGTTTTTGAAAAAAAGAAACAAAGTAATCATATATATAAGACAGATGCTTGAAAGAAATATTTTACATGCCATACAATGTTCAAAACAAAGGAAATATTATAAAATATATAAAATAAATAAGATACACAATATATTATGGATGGAATTTCACAGATGCTTTTTTTTCTTCTCTTTTCCTTTTACTTCAAAAGTTATAAATACTTTTGAAGCAGCATATAATGTTGCACTTTTAATCTTCTGTTGTACAGTTAAAGAACTTGAAAGTCTTGACTGATTATCGTCTACTGGGCCTTCCCATTCTTTTGTTTCTTCTTCTTTGATTAATAAAGGTTTTCCTATGGTTTGGCCAACAAAGTTACAGACTTCTTGAGCTTTACGCCATGCATTCTCAACAGCAACGAGACAAGCTTTCCGTCTTAGGAATTAAATGCAAAGATTATTAATATGACAATATGAGCTGATGCACCAATAGCTTTAAGGAATTGATAATTTAAAGATGTGCTGAACTTACCGAAGATTCTCAACAGATTCTGGTGTATGATAGAACTGGGGTGGACTGATGACAACAGAGCTATCTAGCTTTTCAACAAGAAAGTTACAAATAGCTTGCATTTTTCCAAATTCAGTAAATGTAATGCAGACCTGTAAATGAAATGGCACCATAAATTACTTTCTTGTGTTAAAATTTCTTCACAGTGTGGTTAAAAATTTAAAAAAATTAAACTATATAGATAAAATGAGGCTACTCAAACTTAAAACGAAGATAAAATAAAAATTATTTTGCTATTAAAGTAAAAATTTTTCATTAGTCATTTTGAAAGTTAAATACTAGCCTAAATATTTTAAAAGTTCTCTTACTCCAATCAAGTATATTCCATTAAAGAGAACTGAAGGATTTTCCTTCATTCTTTTATTTGGCTAATCTCTATGTTCCACTTTCTATGCCATTAGTTTCCTGATTTACAGTAATTATGTATTACAACACTTCCTTGCTGTCTCTGAGGTATGTTTCCTTTCCCACTAGCTATTTTTAAAGACCAGTTTTGGAGTACATTGACTTTACTCATTTCTCATACATTTATTCAACCATTGATACACATTTTGTTCTATGACTTTAATTTCAATACCCACAATGTAATCACACTTGCCTCTCTTCTTCCCTGTAATTCTTACTTCCCTTAATATTTCCATATCTCTTTTGTGTTTTCCTTTTCTTTAGTAGTACTGTGCTGATTATTCTGTTACTAGATTGTGCCTTTCCTTTTACTCATTTTTGATGTGTCTACCTATTTATTAATTTTAATATCCTTCTCTTCTTTCTTATCCCTGGCAACCATTAAGGAATCAACAATTGCTTTTAGACAATATGACACTTCGAAACACACTGGTGATATTTTCAATTTAGAGCTACTATGAAAAAAGTTACTGCTTTTTGTCAGACAGTCTAGATTTTTTGCATATTCATATAAATTTTCCAATTAGTTTTCCATTTTTACAGTAAAATGTGGCTGATAGAAGGATTGCCTGCAGTGTCAGAACCCTTGAACATTGGCTTTTCTAGCCACTGTGTTAAATGTCAGGGACATGGTCTCCAGCTACCTTCACTGTGGACCCCTAGTACTGCAAATCATCAATAGCTGTGGGACCAATATAAGAGCACTTTCCACCCTATGAGGGGTGATGACTTTCAAAAAAAGTGATCAAACAGAATGTGGAAATTATCAAACAAAAATCATTACTGTCATATGTAAGCAAAATACTGCTGAAGATCATCCACAAAGAGCTAGAGCAGTACACTGAGAACTGTTAGAGGTTCACCCTGGGTTTAGAAGAAGCTGTGCCATCACTGCTGATGTCAGATGGATCCTGGATGAAAGCAGAGAATATCAGAAGAATGTCAAATTGTGTTTTATTGACTATGCAATAGCATCTGGCTGTGTGGATTACAACAAACTATGGTTAACACTGATTAAGAATAAAAATCCCAGAATATTTAATTATGCTTATATGAAATCTATAGTTAATTCCAAGAAGGCATTGTTTGAACAGAGCAAGGGAACACTGCCTGGTTTATAATTAAGAAGAGTGTACATCAGGGCTGTATGCTTTCTCCCTATTTAACCTGTATGTTGAGTAAATCTTTTGAAAAGCTAGACTCTATGAAGAAAAATGTGGGTGGTATCAAGATTGAAAGAAGACTCATCACCAACCTACATTATGCAGATGACACAATTTTGCTTGCTGAAAGCAAGAAGGATTTAAGGTGCCTGCTGCAAAAGATCATGGACTATAGCCTTCAGTATGGATTAAATCTCAACAAGAAAACAAAATCTTCACCACAGGTGAATAGGCAACATCAAGAAAAATGGAGAAAACAGTAAAATTGTCAAAGATTTCATCTTCCCTGGATCCACAACAACACACTTGGTACTAATAGTCATGAGATCAGGAGACATATAGCATTGAGAAAATCTGCTGTAAGGGACCTCTCCAAAATCCTGAAAAGTAATAATGTCAGTTTAAATACTCAAGTATACTTGTTTCAGCCATGGGTTTCCAATCATCTGCAAAGCTTCTGAGAGTTAGACAGTGAATATGGATGATACAAGATGAATCAATGTTAGAATGACGCAGGATAGGATAGGAGTCAAACCTGCTGTTTACAGGGTTGCTACAAGCAGAATGTGACTCAAAAACACCTAACAGCAACATTAATCATTTACTCCCTCTCTCTCTTTTCCCAAACATTTAGGGGTTTAAAAGTTTCTATGTATGTCTAAACCTTTCTTAAGCTTTTTAAAATAGTAGTCATATACAATATTTGGCTTTTGGGGACCAACTTATGTTGTTGTTTATCATAGTTTCTTCTAGATTTATCAAAGTTATTCTTTGAGCTTTGTGAATTCCTCTTGTTCATTAAATGCTGTGCAATATTTGGTTGTGTGAATGTACCACTGCTTATTTAACCATGTATTCAGTTCACTGATGGATACTTGGGTTGTTTCCATCTCTTTCTACTATAAATACTACTACAATGAACACAAGTATGTGTGTTTGTGTGCATCACTGATCTTATTTCTTTGGGAGATATATACCTAGGAATGGAATTGCTCGATCAAATGGTATCTCTACTCCCAACTTTCTAAGGGAACACCAAACTGCTGCCTGTAGTAGTTGTACATTTCATATTTCCACCAGCATTCTATTAGTCTTTTCATACCCTCACCACAATTTGCTGTTTGTCTTAATAATACCCTGTTTTAAAGTCTATTGTCATATAAATGATGAAAAAATTAATTGGGGCAATTTTAAAAAATCCTCAAAATCCAAATTTTTAAGGTAATACAATATCTCTTCTACCTAAACATTATCACTAATTCCAGATCCTTTATCCAGGTACTGTCTCCTCAAAGGACAAGCTTTTAAAATTCCTTCAGAACTGAGGTTGCATGACATGAAAACAGCATGATGAGTGGAAAGAGTACCAATATAAAAACAGTTTTAAGTCCAACATCCATCCCTCAATACATAACCATTCATCTACTCTAAAACAAGTCATTCAAAATCCTCAACCATTAATATTCTTATCTTGAAAACAAGTGGAGGCAACAGGGTTGTTCAAAGGTTAAAAAGAAAATATTTTAAAAGTATCTTTCAGTATGAAATTTTCAGACACTGGAAACAATCCCTGCAGTAGAAATGGTAGTAGGAAAACATGACACGGTGAAAGAAATGAGGCAAGAAAATGAACAGCAGAATTTTGTAAACGAAATTATTTATTCATAACAAATACTTTTTAAAACCAAAATTGGCAACTTTACATATAGACTTAATGTGCTAAATTGTATAGGAATTTGATTGACTACTTCTATGGAAGGAATCATTAGAGAAAAACTCAGTATCAGCAGTCAAAACGAGGCCAGGTGCTGATTATGAGGAACAGACCATCAATTACTCATGAAGCAATGGGTTCAAGTGTATCAAAGATGGTGAGGATGACACAGAATAAGCCAGGACTCAGATCAGTTCAGTGGGTCACTATGAGTCATATTCAATGGCATCTAATAACAACAAAGTTCAAATGGATGTTGAAGAAAATTAAAACAAGACCATAGGAAACAAAAGGTGACCTTGAGTCTATCCCACCTGAATTTAAAAACACCAGTGATCTATAACTAGATGTGTTGTAGAAGATATAATGGATATCATTCATGAGGAGAACAAAAGACAGAGAAAAAAACACCCCAACATAAATGTCAGAAGAGATTCGAAAAGTTTCACTAGAGAGTCGAGAAGCCAAAACAAAGGGAAGAGATGAGGCAACATGAGAGGACAAAGGAAAAGTATTAAAGGGAACATGCAGAGAGCTAGCACGGAGAATAAAAATGGAAGATACTCACTAGGTATTATTCAAACTTAAAGAACTAGAAAATTCAAGCCTTGAGCTGCAATAATGAGAGATGCTACAGATAAAATTTGCAATGACTCAGGATGCAGTAAAAATAGATGGGAGGAATACACAGTCACTATAACAAAAAGAACTGCCTAATATTAAAATACTTCAGAAATATCACATGCTCAAGAGTCAGTGGTGATGAAGAAACAGGTTCCGACTGCACTGAAGACTGGGAAAAATAAGCTCCATGAATTGATGGGGTATCAACTGACATGATTCTAATGACAGATGCAGCTTTGGACGTGATTACCTGTCAATGCCAGCACATATGGAAGACATTTACGTGGCTAACTGACTGGAAAAGATCAACATTTGTTCCCATTCTCTAGCAAAATGAGCCAACAGAATGTGGAAATTATTGAAAAGTATCACTAATATCACATTCAAGCAAAATATCACTGAGGATTATTAAAAAACAGCTAGAACAGTACTTTGACAGAGACCTACTAGTTCAAGCTAAGTTTACAAGAGGCCATGCCACCAAAGGTATCCCTACTGATGTCAGAGGGATCCTGGCTGAAAGGAGAGAATACCAGAAGAATGTCTGTGCTTCACTGAGTATGTAAAGGGATTTGACTATGTAGATCATAACAAATTACGACAAAGACTGAGAATGGGAATCTCAGAACACTTAATTGTGCTCATATGAGAATGTATAGCTAGATCAAGAGGCTACAGAGAGAACACTACATGGTTTAAAATCAGGAAAGGTGTTTATCAGGGTTGTATCCTCTTTCCCTATCCATTCAATCTGTATGCTGGGTAAATCATTCAAGAAACTGGCCTTTATGAAGAGGAATGTGGCATCAGGATTGGAGGAAGATCAAAGTCTTCAACATGGATTACATCCAAAATTCTCACTACTGGACACCTATGCACTATCAGGATAGAAGAAGAAAAGAGTGAAACTGTCAATGAGTTCTTCTTACCTGGATTCAAAATCAACACACTTGTACCAGCAGTCAGGAAATCAGGAGATGTATTGCAGTGGAAAGTCTGCAATCAGGCACCTCTCCAAATTACTAAGAAACTATGATGTCAGTTTGAGGACTAAGGTATCCTGATTCAGGCTATGGTCTTCTTAATCACTTGCTATGTATCTGAGAGCCGGACAATGAATGAGGATGTAAAAAAAAATAATTCATGCCTTTGAGTTTTGATATTGGAGAACAGTACTGAATATACC